TAGAAAAAACAACTTCAAATGTTACAATTTATTGCCTTATATTAACCAGTTTTTCATCTATTAGCAAATTTATTTCAGCATTCCTTTGATTGACTAAATAAATCTCTTTCAAATTATCCTTTGAATCAGTTTCTTCATTACTTGAGTTAAATCAAGTCTTTGACACATGTTTATTTTATATTTATTTACAAGAAAGTCATGTTTTCAACTTGTGAAAATCATATGTTAGTATGTGCTAAACCCTACAGATTTCATAAAAATGGGACTGAGTCCCTACTCTCAAGAAGTCTAACAGGTGAACTATGTATGGCGTATGACAAATATGCAAAGTAAGCTAAATTTCATAAAGTCAATATATATGTTACAGAACTCTAAAGAAAGGAGACATTAGGGGCGCCTGGGTAGCTCAGTCGTTACACGTCTGCCTTCGGCTCAGGTCATGATCCCAGGGTCCTGGGATCGAGCCCCACATCGGGCTCCCTGCTCGGCGGGAAGCCTGCTTCTCCCTCTCCCACTCTCCCTGCTTGTGTTCCCTCTGTCGCTGTGTCTCTCTCTGTCAAATAAATAAATAAAATCTTAAAAAAAAAGAAAAAAGAAAGGAGACATTATACCGGTGAGGTTGATTAGGAAAGGCCTCATAGATAATATTTGAAGAGGCTTTTGAGGCAGAAATGGGGGCATTCTAGGCAGAGGGAATAGTATAAACAAAAATATGGGAATATATACTTGTGTTATAGATAAGAAAGAGAAGAATAGGGGCATCTGGGTGGCTCAGTTGGTTGAGTGTCTGCCTTTGGCTCAGGTCATGATCTCGGGGTCCTGGGATCAAGCCTGCATCAGCCTCCCTGCTCAGTGGGGAGTCTGCTTCTCCCTCTCCCTCTGCCCCCTCCCACCACATTGTGCTCTCTCTCTTTTTCAAACAAACGATAAGATCTAAAAAAAAAAAAAAAAGAGAAAGAGAGAGAGAAGAAGAAAGTTAGGTTTAGGTATGTTGTGTTTGAAGTACCTGTGTGATAGTCCTGTAGAGGAGTTCTGCAAGCAGTTGGAAACGAATATCTAAAACTCAAGTAAAAGGCTAAACAAGAAATAAAAATTTGAAAATTATTGATCATGAGAGAAAGAGCTACTGCTATTTTGTGCTGTTATTATATCCAGGTTTTGGTGATTGTTTAGTAACATTAAAAGCTTTCATTTATTAAGTATTTACTAATTACTACATGTCGGTCTCCTTTATATCATTTTAACTTTATGAGAACTCTTGGGTCTGTATTATTATCCCCATTTTACAGATGAGAAGATCGAGGTTCAGAGAGAAGTAATTTGCCCAAGGTCACAATTGCTGGTAAATGAAGATGCTGGATAAGAGACTAAGTTATTTGACTCCAAAGCTCAATGTTGTTGTTGTTCTTTCTTTTTTTTTTTAAGATTTTATTTATTTTTTTTGTCAGCGAGAGAGAGAGAGAGAGAGAGCACAAGTAGGGGGAGCAGCAGGCAGAGGGAGAAGCAGGCTTACCACTGAGCCAGGAGCCCGATGCCAGACTTGATTCCAGTGGAACTTGATCCCAGGACCCTGGGACCACAATCTGAGCGGAAGGCAAATGCTTAACCGACTGAGCCGACCAGGCGCCCCCAAAGCTTATGTTCTCAACCACCAGACTTTATTGCCTCTCAAAGCTGGTTTTTGTTTTTTGATTTTGTTTATTTGTTTTGTTTTATTAGAGGGGTGGAGATTAGGCAGTATACTCTGAGCACACTATGGGTTAGGTTACTTCCCTTAGGAAATAGCAGGCCCCCCTCCCCGCCGAAGATAGTAAATGGGCTATAAATAAGGCCGGTCTTGCTAAACTAAAACTAGAGCTGGATAAGAAGGCCTGAGCTGAATCAGAAAATAACCTTTTGGCTTTGATGGAAAATACTCAGTTGGCCACTTTCAAATGGCAGGAAGCTAAGGAGATGAGAAAGAGGAGGACCAAGAAAGGTATCTGCAAAATTGACCTGGGATTTGTTTGCTTTTTTGGTTCTAGAAATAGAATCAAAAACAATTACTTCAGAAACTCGACCATTTGGGTGCCTTTTCAGTTCTTGGTAATTATTTAAAATTTGTTTTTTCTTCGAATTCAGTAGAGTTCTTTGTTTTTAATGTCCACCAATCTCAGATACGCTAAGTGGAATAAAAAAAATGGGGTTTTTCTTCACTCAAAAGTTTTAAAGAGAGCGGGGTGCCTGGGTGGCTCATTCAGTTAAGCAACTGCCTTCAGCTCAGGTCACGATCCTAGGGTCCTGGGATTGAGCCCTGAGTCGGGCTCCCTGCTCAGTGGAGACCCTGCTTCTCCCTCTGCCTCTGCCTGCTGCTCTCCTTGCTTGTGCTCGCTCTCTCTGTCAAATAAATAAATAAAATCTTTTAAAAAAAAGTTTTAAAGAGAGAAAAATGCAGACTGGGGGCCAGCTATAATTACTTAGGGAGTCTGTAACTATAGTGGGATCATGACCTGAGCCAAAAGCAGACGCTTAACCAACTGAGCCACCCAGGTGCCCCCTATAGTGACATTCTAGGGAAAGAGCTTAGTTCATTTTTGTAGTCACTCTTGTATATCTGGGAATTCTTCCGATAACCTTTTTCTGCTCAATTCCTCGAGAATTTTGTGTTTTCTCCGAACAAGAAATGGTTTTCTCTTACATCTGTGTAAGTTAGTAGTGGAAGCCACGGCAGTAACTATAGCAGATGTTATGACTGTCCAAAATAGAGCATCTTTAACAAACTGAGAAATAGTGTAATGATTAAAAGTGTTGGCCCTAGATTCAGACAGTACAGATTCTAATCCCAGTTCCATCTTTTATTGATTGTGTGATCTGGGCAAGGCCTTTCATTCATTCACTAAGAAAGTATTTATTGAGCACCTGCTAAATCTTTGTTGTAGGCACTTGAAATCTAGAAGTGAAAAAAATAGACAAAGATCCCTGTCCTCGTGGAACTTATATTTGGGGAGAAGAAGAAACAGATAATAAATAATGAACATAACAAATATATTATGTAATATGTTAGAAGATGATAAGTGTTATGGGGAAAGAAAAAAATAGAGCTGGGTAAGGGACAGTAGAAGTGTGGAAACTGGGAGGAGTTGCAATTTTAAATAGGGAGATCTAGACAGGTATTGTGGAGAAGGTCATATTTGATCAAAGATTAGAGGAGGGGAGATTGATAATCAGAATGAGGGCTACGTGGGGAAAGATGATTCTAGGCAAGTACAAGGCCCCTAAGGTAGAACTGTGCCTGGCACGTTTATAGAACGTCAAAGTGCCCACTGAAGTTGCAATGCTGTGAGAGGAGAGCAGGGGCAACAGGATAGGGACACACATGTAGTGCTAAGTAAACCACTATAGAGACTCGAGCTTTTATTCTGAGTTAAGATGGGGAGCCATTGGAGAGTTTTAAGCAGAAGATAGATATGATCTGACTCAATTTTACAAGGGATCACTCTGGCTTCTGTGTGTTTTTTGTTTGTTTGTTTGTTTTTTTAAGATTTTATTTATTTATTTAATTGACAGAAGGAGAGAGGCCCTTGCCTCTTGGGGACACCCTCTCCCTCCTGTTCCACAACTTTGGGGGACTCCCTTTCCCCACCCCATAATAAGTACTGTGATTCATAGCAAAAACCAGATTAAGAGCCCATGTGATTTCTTTTTGGTTGATTTTTGCCCCCTAGGGTAGAGTTATTACAAATCTGCCCTGTTGCTCAGGGTTGGCTAATCAGTCAATCACAAATATTGTACATCTATTATGTCTCAGGTACTGGGAATACAGCAGTGGGCAAGAGAATCATGTCCCTGTCCTCAGGGTATTTGCTATCTAGCTGGATGGCATGCATCACATAAATCATTACCAGTAGAATATAAGCTCTATGAGAGCAGGGCCTTGTCTTTCTGTTTTAGTCACTGCTCTATCTCCAGAACCTAGAACAGCTGGTGTGTTGTAGGTCTCTTGTAAAAACTTATTGTTTATAATTCTTATTAAATAAGTAAAGTACCGTGAGAGAATATAAATTATAATATAGGGTACAGCTTAGACTGAAGGGTTAGGGACAGGTTCCCTGTGGAAGTGATGTTTAAACTGAAACCTAAAAACAACAACAACAACAACAACAACAAAACCCAAAAAACAAACCTGGCAGAAGAAAGAAGAATATATCTCTACCATATTCTATACTTTCCCTGCACTGACCACACTTCAACTGGAATCATTCTTTTGCTATCTAGCTTCACTGTAAGCTTTGGAAGGTCAGGGACCAAGTCTATATGTCAACAGAATCCCTGAATCCCTAGAACCTAGTCCATAGTAGGGACTTCCCAATGGAGTGAATACTTTTTGAGAAGGAAATTCAGACATGTAGGATCTGCTAGTGGTATAATTATAGCCTTTCAGGAGAGGCAATTCTATTTAATGCCATATGCCCAAGAAACTGATTAAAAATAAGAAAATATTTACCTGTCATAAATCTTGGCAATTCTCAGTTCTCCTCTTCCTTTTCTCAAGCTTATTCTTGTTGTTGAAGCATGAGCCAGAATGTGTCCCCCGATGGGTTTTTTGGGGTCTGCCTGAAAACTGAATTAATAAAACACCTTTTTAGGTTTCATCATAGGGACTATATACAGTAAAACCTGCAATTATAAGGCAACTTTTCTGTGGAGCACAGCAGGAGATGGGGTAGGTGTGTGTTCTAAGCAAGCATAGGCTCGTTCGTTAACTATGGAGTGGGGTATGTATTGGAGCTGCTCTATACCCCCTTGCCATCCTGTTTAGGCTTCTGGGAGTCCTATGATGTACAGTTCATGTTTTGATTGCTTTTTTAAAAGGAAAAAACACAAATAAAATGTTATTCATTGTCTTAGGATAATTCTTGGGGGTAAGCAATTTTTCTTCTTTACAAAATACAAAGACTGAATTTATTTATTCATTCATTCATTTATCAGAAATATTTACTGCTTTCTCTTTTTTGCCACCATCCTGCTCTGCGTGGCTGGCTGCTTCTCGCCATGTCTTCTCACGAGACTTTCAGAATCAAGCGATTCCTGGCCAAGAAACAAAAGCAGAATCATCCCATTCCCCAGTGGATTCGGATGAAAACTGGTAATAAGATCAGGTACAACTCCAAGAGGAGGCACTGGAGAAGAACCAAGCTGGGTCTATAAGGCGTCACACATCATAAAATGACACACTTAATTGGCACACATATTTAATTAAGCTGCGTGAAGATCATGTGTTCTATCATTCTATAAACATTCTTCCTACCTGACCATAGACTTGTCTTCTCATGGAAATGATTTTTCTCTGTGACTATGCCTCTGCACCAGTAGGTTGGCTCAGTAATAAATGTGAGACCTTTCGGCTCTACTGCTGTTGTGTTTCTGATTTGTGAAGGACTGAATTCCCCCACCTGTCAGATCATGCATAGCACTGTCAGAACTTTCTGCAGTGATAGAAATGTCCCTTGACAACCAAGTATGTAAAGTGTGGCTAGGGGGCGCCTGGGTGGCTCAGTGCCTTAGGCCCAGGTCTTGATCTCAGGGTCCTAGGATGGGGCTCGCACTGAGCAGGGTATCTGCTTGCCCCTCCCCTAGCTCAAGTTCTCTCTTCTCAAATAAATAAAATCTTAAAAAAAAAAAAAAAGAAATATTTATTAATGGCCTACTATGGGGCACCTGGGTGGCTCAGTCGTTAAGCATCTGCCTTTGGCTCGGGTCATGATCCCAGGGTCCTGGGATCGAGTCCCACATTGAGCTCCCTGCTCAGCAGGAAGCCTGCTTCTCCTTCTCGCACTCCCCCTGCTTGTATTCCCTCTCTCACTGTCTCTCTGTCAAATAAATAAATAAAATGTTTTTTAAAAAAGGGCCTACTGGGGCACCTGGGTGGCTCAGTCATTAAGTGTCTGCCTTTGGCTCAGGTCGTGATCCCAGGGCCTGGGATCAAGCCCCACATTGGGCTCCCTGCTCTGTGGGAAGCCTGCTTCTCCCTCTCTCTCTCCCCCTGCTTGTGTTCCCTCTCTCACTGTCAAATAAATAAATAAATAAATCTTTTAAAAAATGGCCTACTATGTGCCAAGCACGATTTTAATCTAATGAATAAGAAATGCCCAATTATCCCTATGAGGTCATGATGTAAATGAGAACAGATTGAGAACCTCCTTCTTGTTCATTAACTGTATGTTGGAAGCCTTCAAGTTTGCACTCGTTATGAATTTGCAGTGAGAATAATTTTGGAAATGGCTTTGTCTTTATCACTGATGCTCAAAGTTTATTCTTCTAAAGGAGGATGCAGAAAAGATAAGTTTTTACTATATCTGAATTCAAAAAATATATTATAATTGCAAGGTAGTTACAAATATTGTTGATACTCATCTTGAGAGATATATTCACTAGGGGACTAACACTCACTTGGCAAGAAGTGAAGTGTTCTTAGTAACCCTAATAGTGAATCCTTTAAAAAAGCCTAGGTGCTTCAAAGCATCAACAAAATACCAGCAAACCAAATCTGGCAGCATATTAAAAGGATTATACATCACGACCAAATAGGATTTATTTTAGAAATGCAAGAGTGGTTCAACAAAGGAAAATCATCAGTGTAATATACCAGATCAAAAGAATAAAGGGGAAAACCCCCCACATAATCGTCCCAGTTGATGCAGAAGAAAACCTAGGCTTTGAAATCATCAATAAAGGGAACTGAATATAAACTAACAGGTTAGGGGCGCCTGAGTGGCTCAGTCGTTAAGCGGCTGCCTTCGGCTCAGGTCATGATCCCAGGGTCCTGGAATTGAGCCCCGCATCGGGCTCCCTGCTCCGCGGAAAGCCTGCTTCTCCCTCTCCCCCACCCCCTGCTTATGTTCCCTCTCTTGCTGTCTCTCTCTGTCAAATAAATAAATAAAATCTTAAAAAAAAAAAAAGAAATTTAATAAAAAAATAAACTAAGAGATTATACTTGATCAAAATAAACTGACATAGCCTAATAACCTCATCTCTGGGAGAATATGGTTACAAGTCAGTTTAAATTCTGCTTGTTCCTTGAAGGTGTTCAGGATTCTGGTTACTCTAAGTATGAGGCATGGTGTAGAAAAGGATGTAACTGACTGTCATGAGGTTAAATAGATTGAAGGGTGGTGGGGGTAAGAAGCTCTCTGGTAAAGGAGTCTGCTGATAACAGCATGAGTCTGCTTATAAACTGCTGCTTGGTTAAATGGCTCAGGAGTTCGGACCAGAAGATCCCTGGCTGGGGCTGGATAGGATTCGTTAAGATTCAGCAGGTCCAACATTGAAACAAACACAGAAAGTTAGTTTTGGAGTGAACCACTATCAAGAAAGTAGTAGCTGGGCAGTTGAGACTGACAGCAGTTAAGAAGTCAGAAGGCCAGGGCGCCTGGGTGGCTCAGTCGTTAAGCGTCTGCCTTCGGCTCAGGTCATGATCCCGGGGTCCTGGGATCGAGTCCCACATCGGGCTCCCTGCTCAGCAAGAAGCCTGCTTCTCCCTCTCCCATTCCCCCTGCTTGTGTTACTGCTCTCACTATCTCTCTCTCTGTCAAATAAAAAAATAAAATTAAAAAAAAAAAAAAAGTCAGAAGGCCATATACTACATCTTTATCCATTTATCAGTTGATGGACATTTGCACTCTTTCTATAATTTGGCTATTGTTGTTAATGCTGCTATAAACATCGGGATGCATGAATCCCCTTGAATTAGTATTTTTGTATCCTTAGGGTAAATACCTAATAGTGCCATTTGCAATGACGTGTATGGAGCTAGACAGTATTATGCTAAGCAAAATAAGTCAGTCAGAGAAAGACAAATACCATATGATTTCACTCATATGTGGAATTTAAGAAACAAAACAAATGATCATAGCGGAAAAAAAGAGAGGCAAACCAAGAAACAGACTCTTAACTACAGAGAACAAACTGATGGTTACCAGAAGGGAGAGGTGGGGAATGGCTTAAATAGGTGATGTGGATTAAGGAGGGCACTTGTGATGAGCACCGGGTGATGTATGGACGTGTTGAATCACTAAGTTGTACACCAGAAACTAATATTACACAGTATGTTAACTAAGTGGAATGTTAATAAAAAAAATGAGTCAGAAGGCTAGGTTGCTTTCTGCAGGCCGCTGAAGGGGTAAAGCAATAAAGTGATCTCAATTGGATGAAATAGCTAGAGTTGAGTTGTCTATGTAATGCTTACAGTTCAATGCCACTCTTTTTAATGGAATGGCTCTGAATTTTCCAGGTGATCCTATGTTATCGGTGGTTCTTCAGGGTCTTAAAAGAATCCTATGTTCTATACAGATGTGCCCTGATGATATCAAACAGGGCGAGGACTCTGAACTTGCAAATACTATACTTACGCTTCCCTAATGTACGTTTCATATTGTGCCTTTAGTGCTATTATTATTCACCTTTTATATTTCCCTTCAATCTCTCTTCTATTAGCCGTCACTAAGCTCCTTAAGGGCGGACACAGTATTTAACAGTGTAGCAACCAGCTGTATTTAACTTTGTATTTAAACACTGTATTTAACTTTGTGGCAACGAGCTACACAGTGGGTGCTCAAAGATATTTTTGAATGTAAAATATGGATGTTATAAAAATATCAAGGAGAATACTGGACTGTAGAAAGACTGGTGCTTCCACAGAAGGTACACCAATTAGAAATTTCTATCAAGAGGAGACAAGAAGCTAAATGGGTGGAGAGAACTTTCAACAGCTATATTACTGCTTCTCTCAGATGGTCTCTCAGTACTGCTTAGTAATTCTCCTACATGAGCATGGTTAGTCTCCTTAAGCCCCCTTTTCCATTCTTGTCCCTTCATCTTGGATGACAGAGCTTGCTTCTTTTTTTTTTTTTTTTAAGATTTTATTTATTTTGGAGCGCCTGGTGGCTCAGTCGTTAGGCATCTGCCTTAGGCTCAGGTCATGATCCCGGGGTCCTGAGATTGAGCCCCGCGTAGGGCTCTCTGCTCAGCAGGAAGCCTGCTTCTGCCTCTCCAACTCCCCCTGCTTGTGTTCCCTCTCTCGCTGTCTCTCTCTGTCAAATAAATAAAAATAATAAAAAATAAAAATAAAGATTTTATTTATTTTTGCAAGAGAGGGGGTGCAGGCAGAGGGAGAAGCAGACTCGCCACTGAGCAGGGAGCCTGACCTGACATGAGACTAGATCCCAAGACCCTGAGATCATGACCCAAGCCAAAGGCAGATGCTTAACCGACTAAACCACCCAGGCGCCCTGACAAAGCTTGCTTCTTTGTGAAAAAGAAATGAGTGTTTCTCAGGAAAAAGCTCCCTCAATTTCCCCTTCTTTCTATTTGCTGCTTATATACTTCTCTACAGTTGTAGTCATCCTTTCTTCTTCCCTCTCAAACTTTGCTTTTTCTTTCTTCCAACAAGTCCTCTTACACCTTGATGCCTTTGCACACACAATTCCCTGTAAACGAAAGCTCTTTTCCCACTGTGTTTGTTCATTTAGTTCCTACTCACCCATCCAGTGTCATCCCTCTTGGAAACCTTACCTGATCCTCTGAAACAGAGCACAACCTTCTTGTCCATGCTCTCATACCACCGTATATTCCTCTTTGAAAGCACATTACATTGTAATTTTTTTTTTAATTAAGTAGGCTCCACACCCAATATGGGGCTTAAACTCATGACTCTGATATCAAGAGCCACATGTTCCACCAACTGAACCAGCCAGGCACCCCCACATTGTGATTTTTAATTTATAGTTCTCATTCCCCTACTATACTCTAAATCCTTATTCATCTTTGTAACTCCAGTGCCTAGAAAAGTGCCTATAATATAAAAGGCACTGTATAAATATTGTTGAATGAACAGAGGAGAGGACAATTTGGGTCTCCCTGATCCACATTCTTTTGGATACAGATTTGTATACACATCTTCAAAGAAGCTATAATTCGAGGAGCTTTTGAAGGGTGTTCTGACAGAAAGGCAAATGTAAAAGGAGAGAGAATTTCTCTTTAATTGAAGTAATCCTATTCCCACCCCATTCCTGATAATCTAAAGAAGAGCAGGAAGGTGGAGCTCTTAGATGTATAGCCATGATTTTTTTTAGCAAATTATTGTTTGCTGTGACCAGTGTGGTACCTTGTGCACAAAAGAAAATAGGTGCTACTGCTTGTTACTGATTACTCTAGGTGAAGAGCCTGGATGTTAAGAATGTTATCTCAAAAAAAGTTATCTCCAAAGGGAGATGATTTTGAATGAACTAAATGGGGAAATACATTATAGAATGTGCAAAAGTACTAAAAA